GTATAAAATTACAAAAGAAAATGTTTTTATCCTTTGATATTTTTGGATATTTTGAAGAATAATGTCATTTTTCGATGTTTCTTTTTTTAAATGTCAATTTTGACAGGTTAAGGAAATCACGTGACCTATTTTGTAGACGCCATTTGACATCATTTCTTAAGCAAAATCTACTGCCAAAATCAAATTTCACATAAAACGATAAATAAAAAAGTTTCCTATTTGATGCAGACTTTATCGGTGACACTGTATAATATGTCATAAACACTTTCGTGTTGGTGGGTGTAAGTCTTAATATGTTTCTTCTATTCACAGTTCGATCGAAGTAATGACTAGAATGTCAGTTATAGATTTCTCACGAACTCCCACTCCTGACACCTAATAGTGCATAATCCCACTTCTGATAACATTTATTCTTACGATGTCACTCAGTAGGGTCACTCAAGGTTTTTTTTTATTGAAACCATTTATTTTTTCATTTTATCAGATAGCGGCGTGCACGGAGGTCTCGTGGTGTTAGAACCTTCCTTCAACGGCGATACGATGGCCACGGCTTTGGGAATCCCCGCCAGTAAAAATATCATTAGACGACATCTAACGGCCGAACTAGAAGCTTTAATTCTACCCGCAAGGTACGTCATTTTCTGTCAACTGGAAGAACTGCAAGCAGAAGCAGCTAGGGTGATAAAACACAGATAAACAATCAGAACGTATTCTCAGCTGTATTTGTGTTTGGTTCCTATTTCAATCAAGATTATTTTCTATATTGATTTATCAGTATGCAGTATCTGGAATTTTCTCCGCTAGGAAATCAAACTTACTCAGATAATAAATGGAATCAAAGGATAGAAACTATTTTAATTTATAAATAGATTGTAAGAATAAATGATATGAATATTGATTTTTATGATTTCACATGACACACTATACACAAACATTCTATGTTATTTTGCTGCTACTCGATTGCCCTGCTGTCATTTTCTAAGTGGACTTTCTGAACGTTTATGTGATAAAAGACAATAATTTTCATATTTCAGAAAATTACCTCTTTGTTCATATCAAATTTGATACTTCTTTGAATTAAGTTGTTACAGGGAATATATTCAAAATATCTCACAATTGATAATTACCCCTCTTAAAATATCAGTGATTTTAACTAAATATAAAATACAAGAAAGCAGTTCCAGTCATGTTATACCCATATTGTTTCACTTAACAACCTAATGCATATACGTAATTCTGTCCATCTTCACTAATATTGTCAAATTTCTCTTGAAAAAGCCATGCTCACACAATTTGACAACATTGAAATATTTTGACACCATTTGCATGCCATTAATTTAAATAAAAACAATATTATTTTTACTGTGAGAATGTTTGAAACGATTGCATGTTTGAACTTTCATTCAGATATACTTTTATGAATTTTTAGATGATCAATCATAATCGAAACTTATTTCTACCCACTGTGCCAATCCAAAGGTAAGTTGTAACCCTTCGATATTCCATAATACATATGATTATATATAACTTTCAACCCCACATCTGACACCAAATAGTGCTTAGACCCCACACCTGACACCAAATAGTGCTTAGACCCCACACCTGACACCAAAAAGTGCTTAGACCCCACACCTGACACCAAATAGTGCTCAACCCTACACTTGACACCAAATAGTGCTTAGAGCCTAGACTTCCTCCTGCCCTATATCTTCCAAAAGCTTTCATTTATGTATTTTCGGGTCCAAACTGAGGTGATTCATCATTATTGGTAAGTGAAACTTTCTGTATGATTTTCTGAAACTATATCTGTGAGTTTACTTTTGGGTGCATCTCTCAAACGATTTTTTTAACATTTACCCCATGTCACTTACGCTGCTTGCGATTAAAAACTGCACTTATTTTTCATCAAGCAATTCATTGTCTTATGGTGTTCGTCGACTTGATCAACTTGATATGAAATGATAGTTGTGAAATAGCATAGAATGCTTGTGTATACCGCACCGCTTGTTTCGATGTTTTGATTTTGCACTATTATGCTAGATCCACACTAGAGCACTATGTTCGGGTAAGGACCAAGTCGAGGGTCCTTGGAGGTTCCTTAGGACGAACGTTTCCTCGGGTCCACAGTGGAAGCGGGGCCTCTTCGGTCAGCAAGGATTCTCGCAAATCGAATATTCGTGTAAGTATGAATTGAAGAGTATAACAAAAATTACATTTTGGAGAAGGAACATTATTTTTATGATTTGTTATTCTCTTTCTCCTTTTATTGTGTTTTTGTCTCTTTTTTTTACTTTGGCGGCTAAAGATTTAAAAAAAAAACGTTGAGGTTGATGAGTAACCTCAAGTAGATATTTTATATTACATGTGCCTTATCTCAGTTTTTCATCTTATTCTTATTCTCTTGCTATCTCGGAAACGGTAAAACCTACGCAGTCGGTTAAATTGGACAAACGTTTTCTATTTCGAGAAACCAAAACAATTTTCTTTGAGATAGTGAATATCAATGGTTATTTTTGAAATATCCGCCAAAAAAATAGAATTCAAATTGGTTCATCATTCAAAAGTACTGATATTCTTGATCTGAAAAAAGATTATTCTAGTTCCCCAAAATAGAACACTTTTGTCCAATTGACTCGACCTTGTAGGTTTTACCGTTTCCGAGATAGCAATATTGGGATCAGCTAAATAAACGGTCTATATTCTGTCAAAATTTCACGAATTGCTTTGTCATGGCAAACAATTTTTTCTGTGAGTTTGTGAATACACGGTGTGAATTATGATTTTGCAGATATACAGCGGTCGAGGACCTGAGAGTTAGGAGCATCTTGTAATAATACGCAAATAGTCAGTTACCATAAATGATATTAATCACCGATTTGTTGTAAATTTGGGTGATTCACTTGTGCATTCCCCCGTAGAGGTAAATGGAAAGACGTGTGTTACTGTGAAAAATTATTTAAACTGTGTCATGTGAATAACAAATAAACAAATTCGAGTTGACCGTTTTTCATTCTTCCATTTTAAATTTCCTATCCGATTATTTGAAAGTAATGTTACACTCCCAGATTATTCATGATGATAATACTAATATCTAATAAGTCTAACAGTCTAAGAGTGAATTCTGAATGAAAGTTACATTGAATCTAGCTTCTACACAAAGCGGAACGCCAAACGGAAGGAAAAATAGTTATTCTAGTCCTGAAAAGTATCTATGTTTTTAAACAATAATAAACTTGTTTGGGAGGAATACAGTAAATTGTATCTAGCTTTTACACAATGCCAAATGGAAGGAAAAAAGATATTCTAGGCCTGAAAAGTATGTTCTTAAACCATGATAAACTTGTTTGGGAGGGAGAACTTCGTTGATTCCTGACATTGAAATGAAATGGGTTTAATGTATAAGTTTGAAAATGTCCTTTGAGGACAAAACTGCAGTAACGTTAGTTACAAATAAAAGTAGTAAAAAGTATAGAAAATTTCAATTCCGTTCCCTTCATTATGATTTCCTACCACGTAGTAACGGCTAGATCCACCAATTTATTGAAATGAATATACATTTGTTGATACGTATGTTATATATCAAAGAACTAAATTAACCTTTTTGTTCTTTTGGGAATTCTCTCATTGAGTAAAGATTTGAGATTGGAGCAGTTATACATTTTTTATACTGATCTAACTGATCTGTAATATAAATATCTTAGGAATCTGTTTTGAATTTTTTCTAATCTCTTTTCTGAACAATATGAGAAGGATGCCAGACTATGGTCACATATTCAAGTTTAGGTTTCACCAAACTATTTTATAATGTAGTAATCGCTTCAATGGCATTAGAATGTACACTTTGTCCCATTTCATATCCCATAATTTGTAGTTACTGAGTTGCTATGTAATCCAAATGGGGTTTATACGAGCATGTGAAGTTATAGTATACAGGGTGTAACTAAATAAGTGTAAAACATTTAAGGATGTGATTCCTCATCGAAAAAAAGATAGGATCTTTCATATAAAAAAACTTCATTGGAGCATCCCTTGTTGAGATACAGCCCAGGTATGACGCTGTCAGTTTGTGAATTTTCGAAATTGAATTAATACTAATTGTGTGTTGTTGTTCTGTTCTTAATTTGTTACTTTAATGATTATACACAATATAATAATACACAAATGAGGAAATGGCTGATATGCATTACGTTTACGGTCTGTCGCAGGGGAATGGTTTAGAAGCTTCTAGAAGATATGCTGAAATGTATCCTCAACGGCAGCATCTTTCACATAGAATATTTGCTCGATTTCATCAACGATTACGAAAATATGGTTCATTCGACAAAAGAACGCAGGATTGTGGTCGCCATCGAGAAGTACGAACACCACAGCTAGAGGAAGCATTACTTAATTTGATTGAAGAACAACCTACTACCAGTACTAGAAAGATTGCTTTCCAGCTAAATGTTGATCATATGACGGTATTTCGAATTTTAAAGGAACAATTCTTATACCCTTACCATCTGCAACGAGAACAGGCACTGTTACCGCGAGATTTTCCGAACCGTCTTGAATTTTGCAATTGGATGCTGGAAATGATTAGAAGAAATTGTGACTTCCTGAAGACGATAGAATATTCACAGACGAATGTAGTTTTTCTCGGAACAAGATTATTAATTTTCATAATTACACACATATGCTTACGCTATTGTCGAAACTAACCATCAAGAAAAGTTTTCTCTTAACGTGTGGCTCGGAGTTATTGGGGAGTTTTTCAACAGTACTTTAGGCAAGCTTTATCATGCTAATAAATGAATACCCACATGAGTTTTACATCAATAACTTATATTACTTGAACTAAACATTACAAGGTTGTTGTTGGTAAGTTAGGCACATTCCCAAATTATCTTCCGGGGATTCCTCCCTCACGCTGGGTCCAAAGTGAATGCCTATCACAAAGGGCGTTACGCTACTTTCTATTCGACAAGGTGTTTCTCCTGAGGGACATAAGGAAGGTCCGCAGTGAATGAGCTCGCAGTAACTGGGAAGCATGGATTGATCTTCTAGCTGAAATTTAAAAAATTAAAGAAGTGAGCATGGGCACCATTCCACCGAAAAAGATTATTTAATATACATAAGGGATAGCGTTTTTTACTTTCCTCATTAGACAAAAGTACATGTTGTATGGCAATAGTCGAAAGAAGACTCTGAACAAAAAACCGTATGGCGAATAACAATATTCATATAAAGTGAAATACAATCATATGCAATAGAAATGAAAATGAGTGTTACCTATCATGGTCGGAGATAACTGTGTCAAAGCTATTCTTCAGTTTTTTTGGCCGTGGTATGCAGGTTTTTATGACTGATGTTTCGTCCACTATTGCGGTGAACATTATTAGAGTGATGGGGTAACTTCGAAGTGTTTGAATTGTCCTCATCGCAGAAACTAAAATGTTGGGAGGTCTTCGGTTATATACCATCATTAATGGGCGTGGTTTCGTTGCACTGAATTGGATTGAATGACCTTGATTGTATACAATCAAGGACATGGAGCCAGAGTGAGTTCGTTGCCTCTTCCTTTCTATTGAAAATATCTAAATTTCTACTGTCTCTCTAGATATTTTCGGATAGTGATAGTGAGTTTTATCGAATGAAATAATGTGGGTACCTTCTTTACGAGGATGTTAGTTTGTTGGTTTGCCAAGGCACAATTTCTCTTGCGTTCGAAGAAAAAGTCCTTATACTCATTTTCGAAGTTATAATGTAGACCGACTGCAGCCACAAGGGATCCGGTATACCCCAAAAGTTGCTAAAGCTTCTTAGTTGACCCTAGACTCTGTTTATTAGTTTTTGTTGGTTTCACGTCGTTTTTCTGCAATCTGGTCTGTAACATTTTTTAACATAGGGGAGGAAAGCATTTCCCTTAGCGGGCCTAGCTGGGGTTATTTTGGCGTCGTCTCTCCTGGATGGTATCGTCCGCTCGAATTCTATTTCGGTGTACCCATTCCCTTCTTCGGGTGATCCAGTTCCTCGGGGAGACTCTCAGTAAGAGTTTTTAATCAGGTACCTGTTCTGTCTGTGTTGGTTTCATGTACACTATATGGCCCAATGTTCCATCTTCACGTCTGTAGCTGTAGGTCTTTTAAGTTTCCTGTTCCATCGTTAATTGGATTTTTGGGAATAAAATAGAACGAAATGGAATTGGATTTTTACTATCATGGAGAAAGCCGTAAACCATCATATCCTCAAATATTTAAAAGGCTTGACTATCTTGAGCGGTCATCACTTTATAGCTAGTTTCTTGCAATTTTCATATTTTTCTGAACATGTTTGGTCCAAAATTCTTCAGTGGATACTGTTTCATATATTTTCAAAGACTTCTTGCAAATCAATTATCTCTGTTTGAAGTGATGCCTTTGGCAGCCACATCTGTCCATTCTGCTGCTACATCATCTTCAAGTACCGATTCAAGGAACGGAGATAGCTTGCCCATCTTGGATTCTTGGAATCTGGTAGCGAATTCGTTACTAAGATCGGCCAGAAATTTTACAAACGCTGCAATGTCTTCTTCAGAGCCCTTTTTATATTAAAAAATTGCCGGAATATGAATACGTTCTTGTCTTGCAATATATTTTTCAAAGATATCCAGCTTGCGATGAAAAGCAGACTCGTTTTGTATCAGATCACATATTGATTTTTCATTTTTTTGTGATTCTGTATTGAGCGCTTTTGATTATCTCAAAATATTTTTTAAAAAAGCTACGACCAGCATATTACGCTTGTTTGTGCTTTCTGGCTTCCTCCGTATCTGAATTTTGCAAGAAGGAGGTTACTTCTTCTTTTATCAGTCAGAAACTTTTGTCGTGTTGCAGTTGAGCCAGAATACGCCGACCGTAGTCCGCCTGATGTCGACCGTTGACCTATACCAGTGGTCGCCAACCTGTCGATCGCGAGCTACCGGTAGCTCGCGGAGGCAATTCTGGTAGCTCTCACAACGATTTTAATTTAAAAAATACAAACTGTAAAAATCAGAGAAGCTTCCGAAAATTCCACAAAAAATCTAATTGTCATAATATTAAACATAAACAGCGGCAACGTTGCGGTGAGCGATCTGCCGCTGACGCCATCAAGCTAGAATCGGCTAGAACCGACCAGCCGGACCAGCGCGTTAGTGTTCGAGAACGATCT